GGGGGGGGGGGTGGGGGGGGGGGGGGGGGGGTGGGGGGCGGGGGGGGCGCAGCTCCACTGATAGGCCACTGCCATACGCTGGTCTTTGCACCCAGTCCCCACCTGCTCCTCGCTCCCAATGGCCGCGATGTATCCCAGCATGCTGTGCAGCTCCTCCTGGTCCACACCCTTGCTGATGTAGTACTTGAGGAGGCCGCAGAGCGAGGCCCGGATAGTGCGGAGGTCGTCCTCGCTCATGTCGGTATCCGGGCTGCTGTTCCTGGTGTGGAGATGGGAGTCAGCCCCACCCAGGGCACGTGGCACCCTGACGGCAGGGTACAGAGGCAGGACTGCAGGCGGAGGTGGGGCTCACCCGTAGTACAGACGCGTGGTGTCCAACAGAAACTGCACACCGTACTTCTTTCGGAACTGTTTCCTGTTGTCCTTGATGATGGTGGACATGTACTGGATGTGACCTTCAGCCACAAAGAGAGACTCTCACTGACAGTGGTCATGTGACCTCAGAAATTCGAGCAAACAACCACACAGACGCACACAGGCAGACGCACACAGGCAGACGCACACAGGCAGACGCACACAGGCAGACGCACACAGGCAGACGCACACAGGCAGACGCACACAGGCAGACGCACACAGGCAGACGCACACAGGCAGACGCACACGCCTCACCGATACGCAGGGGGAAATCTCCCTGATTCCAGATCCCGAAGTTGAAGAGCAGGTGTGTGTGCAGCTGCTGAAGGAGCTGGGGGTTCTTCTCTACGGTCACCTGCTCTACCAACAGCTGCACGGCCACCAAGACACTCACGTCCACCAGGCCCTGGGGCATCTGCGGGCGAAAGGGCCGACTGGGGTCAGCGTATGGAGGGAGACGCCCTCTGGTGGGGAGCCAAGGGTGTGGCAGCTGACCTTCTGAAGCAGGGCTCCGAGCGTAGCCACGCCGTGGGAGTGCAACAGGCTCTCCTGATTGATGGGGTGTCTCTGGATGAAGTGCTTGATCACCAGCAGGAAGGTGGCCACCAGGTTTTTCTCCAGACGTGCTTCTAAACAGCAGAAGCATAAACAGACTTTCCAAGTTACGGGTATATATTAGCATACAACCTTTGCCATTTGGTGGTACAGTTTAAACCACATAACACTAAGAAAAGGTCAAACAGATGTCTGGAGTTGCTGACCTGAAGCCCGGCTGGAGGGCAGGATGACCCAGTCGCCGTCTGCAGGTGTGCTCAGCTCCGGCGTTATGAACTCGGGGCCCCCGGGCTCAGCCTGCGGCTCCGGCGTCAGCAGGCAAAGCTGCTCCAGCAGCGGGAAGAGCACGGGCAGGCCGCCGACGCAGTTAATCATGTCCTGCACAGCAAGGGGGCCAGCTGACGTCACACAGAGCAGCCGGACGAGGGGGGGACGCGGAGCGGACCGAGCAGCCGGACGAGGGGGGGACGCGGAGCGGACCGAGCAGCCGGACGAGGGGGGACGCGGAGCGGACCGAGCAGCCGGACGAGGGGGGACGGGGAACGGACGGAGCAGCCGGACGAGGGGGGACGGGGAACGGACGGAGCAGCCGGACGAGGGGGGACGCGGAGCTGGCCGAGCAGCCGGACGAGCCTCACCTTAATATCCCAGTTCACCACGTTGTTGCCAGTCAGCCGGCCATGCAGCACGTTGGGGGACAGATCCAAGCAGATGGGGCTGCGGCACGCCTGTCAGGGGACACTGTGAGCGTCACTAATGTGTCGGGAAAGGGGGAAAACAAGGGGGAGGCGGCCAGGGGCCAGCAGCACTCACCTTGGGGGAGTAGTGCAGGAGAAGCTTGGGGGACAGGTCTCCCAGCTCAGATTCCACGTTCTTCAGTGGAGAGATGCAGTTTGGTCCTGAAAGGCAGGATGATCATGTTGACTCAGCACCCGCTGTGTGGCTTCCCCCCTAACCTCCCCGGCACGCCTCTCACCTGAACCACACAGGGCCCTGACCTGGGCCGCCTGCAGGGGCTCGTGGAACACCATGACACCACCAAGCTGGCCCTGCAGGGAGGTAGGGCTGCCCCACTCACTGTCCTGAGTCCCGGCCGAGATCAGCTTGGTCACCGACTCCGGCTTGCTGCTCAGCAGGCCCCCCCAGGCCTGGGGGGAAAGGATGCCCCCCAGGGAGGAGCGGCCGGGCGCCTGTGCCACTGAAAAGGGGGGGTCCGGGATCTGGGACGGGGGGGGCGTGGTGGTCCTGTGGCCTGCCGAGCCGATGCAGCAGGATGTGAAGGGCTGAAGTGACAGAAAGGGACAGTTACAGGCAAAGAAGGGCCAGCTCAGAGCAAATGGTGCCCCCTAGCAGGGCGGACACACGGCTGCACACCTCTGTCATAGTTGGGTACTTCAGCGGGGCTGACAGCTTCTGCTGGCCGTCCACATAGATGTAAACCAGGCTCTGTCCAAAGGGCCGCTTTCCAGGCATGTGGACCACGGCAATGCTGTGCTGTGGGGGAGACGCACACATCAGACGGCACGACGTGCACACGGCAAGTCACATGGCACACAGACGCACGTCATACGGCACACAAAGGGCCCTGGCCGGGCGGCGGGGGGCGGCCCACTCACCCAGAGCGAGTCGCAGAAACTGTGCTCTGGAAGCATGACGGTGACATACTCCTTCCTGGTGCAAACGGCCACCACCAGCACGCCGGCCGTGCTTATGAAGGCCTCGAACCCGGTGCCATTGGACGTGAAGAAGCTGGGTGCACAGAGGAGACACACGCAGGCTGAGCGGTGGGCTGCGGCTCCATCCCCTTCACTGTACACTGGCCCCGCCCTCTCTGAGGGTCAGAGCGCCACCTAAAGGTGATACTGCCTCAGAACAGCCGTCGGTAACACGCTGGTCAAACTATTAACTTGCACACGACTGGAATGTACATAATTCATACAAACTGAACAATTCAAAGACCACATCAATAATAGACAAGCAGCATAAATAAAACATGATCCTTTTTCACTGCTGTAAAGGCAGTGCTGCAGACATTCCTGGAAAAATGAGAATTCGTAATATATTTGTAATCTGATAACATCTTAAGAAGGAAACCTGTCTTCAGCCCCCCCCAGCTCCCCTCACCTGTAGAGCTGCTTCCTCTTGTCACCCTTGTCAGGCCCCTGCTGGTCCTGGTCCAGGGAAAGCCAGGCCAGGAAGCTGAAGGCGGAGCCAGGCCAGCGCTGGATGGTGGGCACGGCGATGCCCGCCATGCTGGGCGACAGGTCGAAGTACTGCATAGCACTTTCCAGGCCCTGCTTGCGCACCATGCCCAGGATGGTCCTAAGAACTGGCGCCACGTAGGGGTGTGGCTGGCGGGCATCTCCCGTGCGCAGTAGGCGGAGCAGGCGCAGAAGCTCCGCCCTGCTCAGGGACTGGCTGCCCAGCACCCCCAGCAGGGACACCAGGCTCTCGGCACAGGCGCGGTGCAGCCGCGCATGGTGGCCCAGCGTGTCCAGGATGTGCATGGCCATGGCGGCGTTGACGCAGACGGCACGTGTCTGCCGGTTGAGGCCACAGAGCCGCCGCAGCCAGTCAGCCGTGAAGATCTGCAGCTCCGGGGACTGCAGCTCCGGCAGCCACTGAACCAGCAGCAGCAGCGGCTGCACATTGCTGATCCCCAGGATGCCCACGGACGTGTGCTCACCCTCCACGGCCTGCGGGGGACGGCAGAGGCTGCTGCAGCTGGGGGGACTGGAACCCACCCGCCACACATACATGCATCCACACACATGCATCCACACACACGCACACGCGCGCACACACACACACACACACACACACACACACACATTACCATATTCATGAGCTCCTTCAGCAGGTGCCGGGACGGCTGGCCCTGGGACACCAGCACCTCGTAGAGGTGAGTGTAGCCAATGCGCTCCTTGAACACCTCCTGCGGGACACAGGCGGGGTGGGGGGTGAGTCGTGCAGACGCACTCTGTGGCGATCCAGCGCTGCGGACACAGGCTGTCGTTCTGCCTCATCTGCTACCCACATTCTCAACAATACTGAGTTTAAGAGTTTGACTGGCACACAGGACAGCTACAATGACTGACACACAGGACAGCTACAATGACTGAGAAACACAAGCGAACCAGGCGTTTCCCCCATTTATACAGTCAGACTACTAGCAAACACCCAAGTCTTTCATCAAATCAAATCAAAGTTTATTTATGAACGTTAATAACTAAAAGCATAAATAAAAGTTAAGGTTCCAGAGTAGCAGCCCAAGGTTAAGTGGTTGACCAGGTTCCCGAATGGCTTTGGTCCCTGGCCTTCTCTGCGCCTCACCTTAGCAGCTGGGGACTTGTGCATCACCGTCGTCAGGGTCTGAATGGTGGCCACCGCCAGGTAGTCCAGCCGGCCCTGGAACACCTGGTAGTAGCGGCGACACACGGGTCACATTCACCCTGCCCCCTCCTCACTGCTCCCCACCCCCCTCATGACAGTGCCCGCCCCCTTTCAGTCCCACCCTAGACACAGCAAGGCCCACATGCAGAGAACACATGAAAATGGATGATGTCATGAGGTCCGCCAGTAGGGGGCGCCGGGGAGGTCACACTACAGACAATGACAACATGCCTTCAGATGCATGCCGCAGCCGACACACCAAGAAGAAGAAAACAACATTAATGACATGATGAGCCACCACAGTGTGACCCACAGCAGACACCAGGGGGAGTTACGGGCTTCAAAACTCTCTGGTCATTTTGCAGAGCGATTTGCACCCCAGAGAGCTTTGTCAGCCATGACAGAGGCTTTCTGTTTATGGCAGAAAGCTAGAAGCACATGGGGGTACATAAAACCTAGGGCCTTATTAGTCTGCCCACCCCCAAACTCGCCACGTTTGCTCCGCCCCAGATGGGGCAGGACAGAAGCCACACCCGGAAACCAAACTGGATTAGGCAGGCCGTCAACGGGCACACAGACAGAACACAGGGGCACCAAGCGACACCAGCAGACCCAAACCAAAAAACCCATGGGAGAACAGACATGGGGTGGAGGGCAGGGGGGGGCAGCGGCGGCGAGTGTACAGCAACACGATCATCCACAGAGTGGAAGTAGTGAGAAACCACTCCACCAGAGGGCACTCTTCAGCCTCAGGCAGCTGACGTTTTTAAAGTGATTTCAAGGTAATAGGATGTTGCAGGAGCCTGCAGCAGAAGCCACACAGCCCTGTGGTGGAGTGGGATGGGTGCGGGGCCGGTGGCGGGCGGCAGGCACACCAAGCGTGGCGGTACCTGGGGGTCACTCTCTCCTGTCAGTAATCTGTTGGATAAATCTTTCTGGCTCTTCTCTGCTGTCTTACACCTAGCATTAAGCAGCTGTTGGGTGAATAACAAGGAAGGCGTCAGCTGTGGGCGGGGCCAGGGGGAGTGGGGGGAGGGGTCACCGGGAAAGGCGGGGCCAGGGGGAGTGGGGGGAGGGGTCACCAGGAAAGGCGGGGCCAGGGGGAGTGGGGGGAGGGGTCACCGGGAAAGGCGGGGCCTGGCCGTGCAGTGCAGAGGAGCAGCTGGCCTGTGGGGGTGCGGGCTGCCCAGATGCCTCGACGAACTACCTTGCTGTTCTGCAGGAGGCGGATGAGGTGCTCGAAGCAGTTGCTGTTGAGGAAGATGGCCTGCAGGACGGGCCGGTCCGAACACTGGAACATGGCTCTGATGGTGTCTGCGGACAAAGCGGTGGGACACTGGGCATCAGGCTACGGGTACCACGTTTGGGGGGGGGGGGGGGGGGGGGGGGGG